CCCATGAGGCTATGGGAGAGAATTCCATTCCATTCATATACTAGAACGTACTTTTTAATGGACATGAAATACATTAAAATATATCACATATACTGTCATTTTGTGGCGGCACGGTGGCGCAGTGGGTAGCACTGTAACCTCAAAGCAAAATGATTGATGGTTTGAGCCCTGGCTAGGTCAGTTGGCATTTCTGTGTGGAGTTTGCATGTTCTCCCCGTGTTGGCATGGGTTTCCTCCGGGTGCTCCGGTTTTCCCCACAAGTCCAAGAACATGAGCTATAGACCATTTCAATGTAGTCATGTCATTGGCCCATGAACATTTCCTTCTTGTTATTAAACTATTTCATAACTGTAACAAGAGACAGTTCAATCATAACTTCATGTATATATGAGTTATTAGCCATATATGAGTTATTGTGTTACATACATATAAATCAAATTTACAATCCGTATGTACAATGCAAAAAAAAAAAAAAAAAAAGTAATCAGGCTGATAGAAGGTGTGGGGTATTTGGAGCATGCAAATCCTTTATTTTTTTTAATTAACGATACTCAAGTTTAATGATTTGGTTCAATTTTAAACAGCACAAATTATGCTTAAAGATAGAAATAAATTGCATTGAAAATGGATACAAAAGGTTTTTGAAGAAACACAAAGGGGATATAATCTGAGAGAAGAAAGTTGAAAACAAAGACAACTTTAAAAAGTTTGTGTATGTCTGTCTGTGGTGTAAAACTATGGAACAGTCTAGATCATACTCTAACAATATCAGGATAATAATCAGTTTAAAAAGTTGTATAAATATATATTATTTAAGGAATATAATGATAAAGGTGATTGAAAAAGGATAAAATGAGAATGATGATGAAATTTTAATTAATGGCTATTTGCTGTACTATGTATTTTTTTCTTTGGGTCTATGTTACAAAATGTAAAGGTCCAAATAGATTCAAACATATAATATGTCAAAGATGCTAAAATTATGCAATATGTCTCATGTAAAAAAAAGAAATAAGTAAAAGAAGAAATAAGTTTAAGTAATAGATGAATGACGTATGTGGTAATGGGGTGGGGAAAATGATAAGCTTGTGCTTCATCCCACTCTATTTTTGACCATGTTGAAATGTATTTTTTGATTATGATATTTTATGCATGATATTTTTGTTGGAAAACAAATAAATCATATCAAATGTTAAAAAAGCTATCTTAACGCTATTGATAAATTTGTGTCTCTTTGGATTCTCGAAACTATAGAAATTTAAAATGTAAAACAGGAAATATGTTGGGACCATTGTTTTTGTTTACACTCTTTAATGGTCTACAGTTGAATTGGGTAAGTTATATTGTCTGTATGTGTGTATGTCCTGGTGTTAACAACCCATCCCATAAAAATTTGTTGTTAAGTAACACCAACATGGTGCAGCTGAGAGTAAGTATACTGTAACTTCAGACACAACTTAATAAAAGAGCTTCTCAAACAAGACATAGAGCCCAGACTTGATTTTAATCATCACAAATGAATTGGTTTGTTTTCCTATTCTGTTGGCATATTATGAGTGACAGGTCATAGTTCAAAGCATAGAAGTTCCTCTTTAAATCTTATTGGAAAAAGTGCCAAAACTAATCAAACTTCAAGCAGACACTCGTTATTCATAGAGAAAGCGCTTTAGTGTACACAGCTCCTCCAGTCCTTTTAATATGTTTGATTTTCTCTGAGCTCCGAGCGTGTGCGGTCTTCATTTTAGACTGAGTAAAGAAACCCCACCACCCTGGCATTTCTATTTCTGCCTTTTATGCAAACTAAAACTCTGGAATATTTTATCAAATGGACCTCAGAATTATCTGACTCCGCAGAAGTGGAGTCATTTATGTAACGTTTTGTTTTTTCCCTGAACAGATTTCCTATTGTGCGGGCCACTGCTGAATGACAAAAGATAATGCTGATTGATTTAACTGTCGGGTTATGGCTTCAACAGCTTAGAGAATGACTTAAATGAAACGGGGGAAGGGGATGCAATTAATTAATGGCCATTTCTGCTTGTAAAACCTCTTTTGTTATGGGCTCCACAGGTCAACCTGTACAGACCAATGACCAGTCATTCATTGTAGTTAGTGTCCGTCTGTGTGTAAGAGAGATATTTAAAGGTCAGCCTCGTCTGCCTTTTCACTTCGTCTCCAGTTTATATGATAAAAATAAAGGCAGATGGTCACAACCGCGTTTGACCTCTGATTTAATCACATCAGATTGTCCTCTATGCTTGAAGCCTCAAACGGCAGAGATTTATTGCTATGGAGCAATCACTAAAACGATCAGGAAATCATATAAATGACATGATGTTTTAGAGTAGATTAAAAGAAACAAGCCCACAGTTCTTTTCTTATGAACAGGGACTGAAATTTGTTTACAAGTCACACTCTCAACAAGAGAGTTAAAAGGGAAAGGACAGAGAGTGAGAGGATGAGATGATAAGATACAGCCTGGCCAGATGTTCTGAGTGACTTCAAAGTCTTTAAGAAGCTCTGAAGTAAGTTACCTGGGAATATTTTGACACAAGGCCAAAATCTCAGAGGCACCTGATACTCAAAGAGTACAGATCCATGTGAGTAGATTAAAAAAGCAAAAGCTTGCTAAATTTGTCAACTTTATTATATATATATATATATATATATATATATATATATATATATATATATATATATATATATATATATGTGTGTGTGTGTGTGTATATATATATATATATATATATATATATATATATATATATATATATATATATATATATGTGTGTGTGTGTGTGTGTGTGTATATATATATATATATATATATATATATATATATATATATATATATATATATATGTATGTATATATATAAATATATACTGTATATATAAATGTATATATATATATATATATATATATATATATATATATATATATATATATATATATATATGTATATGTATATATATATATGCGTGTGTGTGTGTGTGTGTATATATATATATATATGTGTGTGTGTGTGTGTGTGTGTGTGTGTATATATATATATATATATATATATAATAGTTTTTTTTATTTACCTGTTTGATGTTAAAGGTTGGTAAATTGTGACTGCACTAATATTTAGACTAGCTTCTTATATAATCTTTTGTATATAAAGAGCATTTTTACAAAATATGTTATGAAGCTCATAAAATATAACACTGAATAAATAAAATAAAAGGGCGACACAGTGGCTCAGTGGTTAGCACTTTTGCCTCACAGCAAGAAGGTTGCTTGTTCTAGTCTTGGCTGGGTAAGTTGGCATTTCTGTGTGGAGTTTGCATGTTTCCCAGTGTTCATGTGGGTTTCCTTTGGGTGCTCCTGTTTCCCTTATAGTCCAAAGACATGCGCCACAGGTAAACTGAATAAACTAAATGGGCTGTAGTGCAAGTGTTAATGAGTGTGTATGGATGTTTCCCAGTAATGGGTTGCAGCTTGAAGGGCATCCGCTGTGTAAAACATATGCTGCATAAGTTGGCAGTTCAATCCACTGTGGTGACCCCTGATGAACAAAGGGACTAAGCCGAAGGAAAATGAATGAGTAAAATAAATTGAAAATAAGGCAAGGAAAAGCAAAGCAAGACTAAAAAAGATGATTAATATAACACATTTCATACACAATGGTAATTAAAAGTGATTTACATAAACAAGAATAAAAGAATCCTAAAATAAAAGTAAAAGAAACAAAAAATAAAGAATAAAAATGATTAAAACAGAGTTAAAACAGATTTAAAATGAATGAAAAATAGAAAGACAAATAAGAGTAAATAAAAAATAACTTTAGGAATTTTGATAGTCAGTAGGTGAAAACATTTTACATAAATTTTTTATTTTATTCATTAATTTCTATGTAGTTTACAGCTTTGTTTACAAAAATGTAAACATCATGTCTGAATATATATTTTTAAAATCTGATTTGTGTTATTTTGTAGCAGTAAGCATTAAATATACATTGAAATAGACAAAATCAATAAAACTGATTGAACGGTTGAACATGTGAACTCAATTTGCATGAACACTGAGGTTATTTACTTCCCCCATGCTGTAGAAAGGGTCTGATTTATTTTATTCATTTATTTATTTATTTTTGTAATGAGGAAAATCAATAGCATGGTTGGATGCAAAATATGGAACGTGGATAAATATTACACTCCAAGAAATAGTCCTGTAATTACTCTTATTCTTCATATTTTTTACAGGCATTTCACCAATTATTTAAACTATATAATACTATGGCAATTCTCTGTTAAGTCATGAATTGTTTTAATTTCTATATGTTTGTTAATAATTATGTATTTTCTTTTTTTTATTATCATTTATATTAATTCAAAGATCTGCCAACATTATTGATTCTTGTATTATTTGAATTACATGAATTAAATACAGTCGAGAAGGTCAAGACCTCTGACCTCTGACACAGAGGTGGGGGATGGGACATTTAGTGACCCGACATGTGTTACATCTAGTTTATAGGGCTATGTTTGATTGTTGTTGTTTTTTTCCAAATTAATTAATCAAATACATCCAGGATGGATTACAAAAAACAAAAACACATACGCGAAATATTTAATCTACAAATCTGTCCATATCATACCAGCAAGAACTATTTATGAAACATGCCAAACAGATATATAAGTATAGGTAGGCTATAGCATCATTTTAAATTAGCGATTAAACATTACGTCTAAACAAACAAACAAACAAACAAACAAACAAACAAACAAACAAACAAACAAACAAACACACTTTTTGTATCCATTAAAACCAAGATAAAGGTAGCCTATGTAAAGGCATGTAAATGTATTAATATAATTTGTAATATTAAGAAACTAATTATTGAAACAGCACCTTTAAGCATCTCTGTCAAGAAATGTGCGTTATGCGCGCACACACGCAGGCGCAAGCTGAGCATCACACGCACCCGCGCGCGCGCACACACTCACACTGCTGTGAGATTATCAGAGCGCTCGGCAGCAGAGAGAGAAAGAGGGAGACGCGGAGGAGAGCAGCAGCCCCACCGATTCTCAAGCGAGAGAGAAAGGCACAGCGTCTGGAGCAAGAGCTGGGCGGGGAAATAACTGCGGTACTCAAGAAATACTTCATTGCCGAACTGCAGCAATTTGTCGGCATCGCAACTTCGTCCGTGTAAAGCAAAATGTCATCGTCGGGGAAAGACAACAGCTCCCAACAACATGCGAATTACGTGGGACCGTATCGCCTGGAAAAGACGCTTGGCAAAGGACAGACAGGTTTGTCCTTTTGTGTGCTTGATTTCTGCAGCTGCTCAACACACTCGCCAGATGACTAGATGTGATGCTCGCATGTGTGTATATGTGTGTGTTTGTGTGCGTTTGCTTGAGCTGACATGTCGTTGTGTAGAGAGGTTTTGGGGAGATTAAGGACCCCAGCCTACTTCTTTGACCATCCTGTCAGTTGCAAGATGCTTTATTTTGGGTGGAACAAGTTGAAAACCCCGCTTTGTTATTGATTCTAGAACAGGAACTTGGTTTTCGCAAATGACAGTTTGCCTTTGCGGCTCTGGTTTGCTTCTGCCTAATGCCGTTAATCCCGATTTGTCAGACAACGGGATGTGGTTGCACTTGCAGGTCCCACTGCTGAATCCATTTACAAGCTCTAGAACTGAATGTTTGACATCAGGTGGCTCTCTGAGGATGATGATGATGCTGATGATGATGATGATGGGACAGTTTTGGTGCATCCATAGTGCACCAGGTGTTCAACCTAATTCTTCCTGCAGTCCGGTGGTGCTGAAATATAGGTGCTGAAGTTTGAGATATAAACGAAACCAGGTTTGCTACAGGCAAAAAGAAAGTGTTTTTTTTTATTTGAGCTGTTGCAATAATCAATACTGCAATCATCCAGGTTGATATGACCAGAAAAGGAATTATTCTTACATTCACGTCAGCTTGTTGTTGAGGATGGCTGCATGACGTAGGAGTGTGGAAGAATTATTGATCTGGCGTCAATGCTTTTTTTGTGCTCAATGTTCTGTTGCCAGTGGCTTCTTCTGGTGTGGCTTTGGTAGAGAACAATTATTGAGTCGATATCACTGGCCAGACGTATCCAAGACAAGTGCCTGCAGCTGTTACGCAACACATGAACTGCAACTATATATCGGCTGTTTTGAAGAACATGGAGTTGATAGTCTGGTCTTCGTCTTCTGGTGTTTCTCATTAAGGCTGCACTCTTAACAGTCATGACTTTGACATATAGATGAGTAGTTGACAGCTGACAGTACTTGTTTATATATTTTTAAAGACGACCTCATTGAATCGTATTGTGCGCCGTTTATTAACTTGTATGTATTTCAGTTTTAACAAATGTTTGTTCCAGTGATCATTCATTCATCAATCATTCATTTTCTTTTTGGCTTAGTGTCTTTATTAATCAGGGGTCGCCACATCCGAATGAACCGCCAACTTATCCAGCATATGTTTTACACAGCGGATGCCCTTCCAGCTGCAACCCAGCACTGGGAATAACCCATACACTCTTACATTTACACACATACACTGAGCCAATTTAATTTAATTAAGTTCAACTCCCCTATTTTCCATGTCTTTGGACTGTGGCGAAAACCAAAGCACCCGGAGGAAACCCATGCCATCACGGGGAGAACATGCAAACTCCGCACAGAAACGCAAACTGTCCCAGCCGAGGCTCGAACCAGCAACCTTGTTGCTGTGAGGTGATCTTGCTACCCACTGCGCCACCTTGCTTCCCCAAATATTCAATATTTAGAGTACAAAGCAATGCACTGAATAGGGTATCTATATTTCTATGAAACGTGGACAGTATGTTGTATCCACTAAAATTCTGAAGTGTGCAATTAGCAGACACTTTGCTATCCTATAGGTCTATGGAGGATTTGCTAAAAAAAATCTTAGGTGGATGGATGTTTTCAAGGAGGCAAGACCAGGAGTGTTGTTACTCAAGGCTAAACTGAATGCCTGTACATTTTTAGACAGGCAGAAGTCACAATGAACAGTCAAATGCAGATTCAAGGAGTGTACCAGCATGATGGATGTAGCAGTATATCTGAGTGTACTTAATCAATGCTTGAGAACCACGTTCTTCATAAATTAATTCAGTATAAACCCAGCTTCTCTCTGTAGGAAAAGGAGCCAAAAGTATTGATGACTCATCTTGCACTCATGGGCGTGTGCAAAGTTTTGTCCAGTAGTCTTTCTGAGCACCTTCTTCTGCCTAGCAACAGCGATTAGCTGTTGGTTGATCATTGTGCATATATTGTAAAAAGCGATATGATCAATTAATGATGACAGCATATGTTTTTAGTTCATTGTAACTTATTAAACTATGTTAATCACGTTCTAACTTAATTCTATAAGTTATGCAAGCTGTTTAAAGTCAGTTGAACTAAATATAAGTTCAAGTATCTGTGTTCTTCACTAAATAGCTATTGGCTGTTCAAAAATAGCTATGCCACCACCCTCAGTGTGTCCTGCCACAACTTTCTGTTTCAATACATTGTCACATGAAAATAAACAGCACTCATCAATCCATTTTATGGCATTTTAATGGAGTAGTTTTCTTAAAAATGACAGTTCAGTTATGGTTTAACACCCCTCCCCCTATAAAAACAAGCATAAAAACCTGCATAATAATATAAAAGATATTTTGAGAAATATCTTGAGTTTTTTTTCCTTGAATGTCACCAAAACAGCTTGGTTACTAACGTTTTCTTGTGTTCTGCTGAGGAAGGAAGTCTTAACACAGATGAAGAACGAGACAAGAGTGAGTTAAAGGATGACAGAATATTCTTTATTGGGTTAACTTCCCCTTTAAATAGCAATCAGCAGATTTATAGGCAGATTTCTCAATTAACCGAACAATATGCAACCAGTGCAAGCAATGTGTTTCTATGACATGAGACCTGTAAATAAATGTTGAGCGGAATCGAAGGCTCGTACTGTTCGTTCGTGAATAGAACATTCTGTCGGCAATTAAACCATTGGCACCAGTTCTTAAAATGGTTCTTGGTGTCGCCTGTGGTAAGAAGAGCGGGCTGCTTGTGACTGGTTTAGCGGAGGGTATTCCTGCTCGTTCTGCTGCCGTTGGCATGGCTGCTGAGAGAATGCTGCACAATAAACGCCGCTTCCCAGTGCTGCCGCTGCAGAGGAGAGCCCATATGTCATGAGAGAGGCTCACACAGAGAAAGAGGAGCTTGGGGGAGGGGTAAGGATAGATGGAAAGGGGGGTGGTTTTGGGGATGAGAGAGAGAGAGTTCTCAGAGCTAAAGCGGGACCCCCATGGGAAACCGTAAAAAGGACGCTCTAGTTTAATTTACCCCCCTCCCACACCTCCCCAAATCAAAACGGATGTACGTGCCTGTATTTTTGCCATGCCTGTTTTCTTTGTGACGCTTTAGCCGTTGCATGCATAGTGCTTTCTGTCTGAGTCTGCTGAAAGTCGGCAGAGGAAGATTACAGGAGATCACAGGCTGAGACGGATTGGATTGTGGTAGTGGTTGCTAAAAAACAATGATAATATAACAATCTACTAGGGGTGTTGCAATATGTTCATATCATGATTCCCTCCAGCATACAGAACTGATCTACTGTACATATCAGATCTGATATATATATATATATATATATCAATATACAGTTTCAATATACATCAATATACGATGCTCAATGACTTTTTGAACAAAGTCATAAGAGAGAGAAAAATATGAAGCGTTTAGATGCAAAAACCTAAAAGCCATTTGATATTCTTTTCTAAAATTAGCATTTTTCTTCAACTTTTGTGTGTTGTGTTATTCATTTTACATTTATAGTGACAGATAAGTTCTTTTCATTGCCTTTCAAGTGAACATAAACATAGGAGGTTGAGATAAATTCCTATTTCAGACAGCATTTATAGGTTTTTGCATCTGAACTCCTCATATTTCTTTTTAAAATGCTTAATTGTAAGGCATTTGATAAACTTTTTTATTCATTAAAATGTAAGTGTTAAAATTTGTTGTTAACCTCAGGAATAAACTTTAATTGGGTTGAACTTGAAATTTGAACCAACATTGAAAAATACTTAGTTCATAGGGTGTGTCAGAACACCTCCACCTTTAGATTGGTTCGATAGTCCATTTCCTCTACGTAAAAGCAATGAGGTTTTGGTCAACTTGTCTACTGTGTGTATCTGGAGGAATGCCATACCTGCAGTCATGTTCTGTCACTGCTGAAAACAACACGAAACCTTTCACCCTGTCAGGTCACATTGTCAGGTTGGGTTGTGTGGTCTCAAGAGGAAACTTGTGCAATTCTTGACGTTTGAAAAGGGGATCGGTGTGATTCTTGTATTTGATGGAGTTCTATGGTGTGAACAAGAAATGGTCTCAGAGATCAATTATTTGTGCCCACTTTATTATGAACACCAAAAGGATTGAAGCAACATTCAGCTTATGAGCAATTCCATGCAAATGTCAATCTTGCCAGGAAAAAATTAAGTTTAATCAAAACCGTTTCTGCATTTTTTTTTGTAAGCAAGTGTTTTACAGTTCTTAAGAAATACTCTAAAATGTTTCTGTCAATGTTTTTAAACAATTTGATTTGAATTACCGAAGTCACGCGAATGGCAATTTCTCATTGCCACATTTTTGGGTTGTGCAGTTTAATTTACAGAATTAATGTACTGTATGTATGTTGTATACTGCAAACTCGCATACTTTTTTGGTCACATCCATAACGCATGATTATTTTCCTCATTTAAAGTATAAAACATGTTTACAGTTTGACATTTTTGTGATCTCTTAACTCTGTGGTTAGTTGTTCTGGAATATATAAACAGATGTTTCTATATAATGTTAACATAAACTTTCAATGTTAATTTATGGTTTGAGTTTTTACAATAAATGTCACATTTAATTCTATAATTGCTCCTATTCCTTTTTTACTTAAATGCAAAGTTCAGACTGCATGATTTTAGCCCTGATTTTCCTTCACTGACAGGTCACCGACAAGTTTTGAGAAATTGCAGACAAATGCCTGAAATCACAGGCAAATCGGTGCTCGTTCACGTGAGTAACAATCACACAGTGTGAACTATTAAAGATGCAATCTGGGAAAATCGCAGATGAGTCGCCGACACCCGTGAGATATTTGGCATGCTAGATATCTGGAGCTCTCTGCAATTAAAAATCATGCTGCTTAAAAATATGTTCTGATTGAAAATAACATTGACAATCACCTACAGCCAATGAGAAAGCAGC